CTGTGAGAACTGGTTGTTAAAAAGAGTCTGACACCTCCTCTCTCTACTGCTTCCTGCCTTACCATGTAATTTCTGCAAATATCAGTTCCCCTTTCCCTTTCATCATGAGTGGAAGCAGCCTGAGGCCCTCATCAGAAGCAGATGCTATTGCAATGCTTCTTGTACAGCGTGCAGAACCATGAGCCAAAGAAACCTTTTTTCTTTATAAATTATCCAGCCTCAGATGTTCCTTTATAGCAGCACATATGGGCTGAGACACAGTGGCACTGGAAAGCTATTTGCAGTAGAGCAGCAGTCTAAAAATAAGCAGATCATGTGATCCCCACTATTATCTGTCTATTTTATGTTTCACAGGAAGAAAACTGCTTGAAAACAGGCTGGGGCAACAACATAAAACACTGACAGGAGTAGCGTTATCTGACAGGATGCAAATGACATAGTGAAATTTAGATAACCATTTGCCATTATCTTGCTGGAAATTTTTCAAAAGTTTAACACTTATCTTTGAAGGCCCTGAGCTGCAATTTATAGCTTAGAGCCCCTCCTTAATTTACTCAGGCTTGGGAGAGGAGGATTAATAATTGCCAGTTGTGCCTTCACACAGAAGCACATTTTCACCTAAACACAGAGAAATTTCAGTCTGCTGAGTCAGCTGTTCCTGATCACTAAGCCAATCTGCACCAAGGTGGAAGGTGAACAATGGTCAGCTGCAGGGTCTGGAATTAGTCTTGCTTTGGTAATATTGGTGTCTGGTATAAGCTCTGCACCTGCTCCCTCACCAAGCCTTTGGTAAATCCTATTGAGCTGGCTTCTTCTGGTAGTCATGAGAAGTTGCAGATCTCCAACTACAGGGACCATAATGACCAATGGACCCAAACTACAGGGAGCATAATTGACTAATGGATCCAAGCTGCTCATTGAATGCTGCCTTTGAACTGAGGCTATACTTATTCAGGCTATTCCCAGCCAATGACTGAGTATGGCAGAGATACCTAGGCAGGCCTCTTCCTTATAGACACAGGACTCCTCTGATGCCCAACTTTGGTCAGGCATTCCCTTACTGTGTTGCCAAACCATTCCTAGACTGCTTGGCAGTCTGGAATGTTTTCACCCAACTCTCCTCCCCTCACTTCTTTACTTGGGGTCATACTTGCATCCTTGTCTGACAGCTCTCCCTGTCTTTTCCAACTCCTTTCCTATTATCTTTCACAGGTATTCTCCTGATCAATTCCTTGTATGTTTAGTCCTATGTTGTCATATGCTCCTTGGAGGACCATTCTTAGAGAATATACCCATGCTCTATGACTTGACTTACTGGAGCCTTATTCTGACCTCCAGGCCACTTGATTGGGACTCTGGTATTCGCTCTGGTTCTTAGGAGTATCCCTTACCTGTAATTAGGAGCTAAATCTTTTCTTCATGTCATTTACTTCTGGCTGGAGTCTTATTCCACCAATGTGTGGGCTATCTAGAATGACATTGGTCTTCTGGAACCATTTGTAAGACTTTGACTCTTGTTACAACTGACGAACTCATCCTGTCCTCATTGTAGCTATGACTGAGAAACCAAGAAACTCACTAGCTCGTCCTCCTGGATGCCGGCTATAAATTGAATCAAGTTGGACCCTGGAATTTTGATCACTTGCTACCTTTCTGTCATTGTCAGATAAGTTGCATAAGCCTGTGGTATGCATGGCTTTGGACTATGTTCCTTTTCACACTGGCCTACAGTTGAGGTACCAGATTCTCATACATCAGTAATTAGAGTAGTAATCACTTATATGAGATGTTGAAATGTACTCCCTTCAAGAAAGGTGACATTTTCAGCTGTTTTCTTAACGGGAAAACATTCTTAGTGGGAACAAATTACAGATCCTTTAATGAGATTAGTATGAAAGCAGAAGAAATGTGAAGGCAGTGGCTATTTGAGTGACATGAAAATATTCCAAGGGGCACAAAAGCACAAAGGGAAAGCTGGTAACTTCACAGTAAACCTCATTGCCTCCATAGTTTTTCCCAATATCAGGAAGTGCCTTTCTGCAAACATGTGTCACGAACTTAACACAGAGAGAATTGAAATTTCTACTTGTTGGATAACTGTACAGTTACACAACAAACAGGAGGCTATGCATTTCCTTGTGGAGACTAATATTACAACTTAATCCTTTTGGCAATCAGAGATGGGCAATTATCCTAACCAACTTATGTTTCCAACTTAGAAGGCTCTCTATTTTCAGGGCTTTATCCATACTTAAATCTGGTAACCAAGCCTATGAAAAGAAGTTTCAAATACAGCAGGTATAAATGTCTATAGGAAAAGGCTTGAGCAGTGTAGGAACCATCTCAGAATTATAAGGGCATGGACAGAACTTCTTTTGTTAAATACTATCATCTTAACCCAAGAGAACTGTTAATAGAGAGCTGAGTTCCTGCATTATGGGTGCTTCCCTCCTATGTCTTAAGATTAGCCAGCAGCATGCAAGGAATTGGAAGCATGTCCTTACATGACACAGCAAGAAGGATGACAAGATCCTATTTGTGTGTGAAAAAGTTTACTCTTGCTGCTGCATACAAAATGAAATGTTAAGATGCAAGAATGGAATCAAGTAGGAGGCTCTTAGAATAATGGGTAAGATTTAATGGTGGATTTGACCCGAGTGGAGGCTATGGAGGCAGACAGAAGTGAGAACATTTGTTGATGCTGTAGGTAGGGGAATGGTGAGGTGTTATGGACTGACTTGTGTCACCCTCAAATTTATATGTTGAAGTTCTAACCCCTAGTACCTTAGAATGTTACTGTATTTGAAGAGAGCATTCTTAAAAAGGCTATTAAGTTAAAATGAGGTCATAGGGTGGTCCCTAATCCAATATGATAGGTTTCTTCACAAGAAGAGGAGATTCAGTCACAGGCATATACAGAAGAAGACTGTGTGAAGACACAGGGAGAAGAACTTATCCACAAACAAATGAGAGAGGCCTCAGAAGAAAACAACATTGCTGACACCCTGATCTTGGATTTCTAGACTCAGGAATTGTGAGAAAATAAATTTTTATTGTTTAAGCCACCCAGTCTGTGGTACTTTCTTATGGCGTCCCTGGCTAACAAATACAGGAGGCAGCTAAAGGAATTGAGGATTATGCCTAGTTTTGTGGCTTGAGAAATGGCGTATTTAGAAGTCTCATTACCAGAATAAGTATGATTGAGGAACGAACATGTTTGGGATCCACATGGGAACGTTGTTGGTGGGGAGAATTGAGAGGTACATGTAGCAGTTTATGTGTGAGATGCCTATGCACACACAAGAAAAGATATCAAGGAGGCAGTGGTGTGTGCAAATCTAGAAATTTTATAAATTCTTATGCAGATGATTTAAATAAATAAATCTGAACCCTCTCGTCCATTCTCAATCCCTTCCGGATTTCAACAAAAAGGGCTGGTTATATGGGGCTAGCATCATATATCAATGTCAGTAAGTTAGATTGTCCATTATTTTGTATTGAGTAGAACTACGTGCTACGTGATTTCTGTGTCTCTAAAAGTCAACAGACCTTGGACAGACCCAAAGGGTTCAATGTCACCCTAAAAACCACTCTAAATTAGGAGGCAGTTGTGACATTCTAAACAAATTTACTAGAATACATATCAAGAGCTATGGCTTTGGGTTCAAACTCTTTTTAGATTAGTGTTCTTGAATCATAATCTCGGACACTTAGATTTTTCATTCATTTTATGGTGAATCTCATTAGGGGTACTTCACTTGATTTAGGGTATTTTTGGAATTTTCAGGGTCAGTTTTTGTTGTTGCATGATTGAGAAGTTCTAGTTATTAGAAGCTCTGTGAAGTCCTGCAAAAATGATTGGACACAAGTCCTCTTGGATGTGTACTTACAGTTGCACGACTTGAAAAGATTCTATACTTTTACAATTGGGCTACAGTGACACACACACACACACACACATACACATTTAACACATTTGTGTATTAATTTTACTTCAGGACTGTAGATAAAGTGTTGCAAAATTCTAGCTATTATGGCTCAAGCCTGTAATCCCAGCACTTTGGGAGGCCGAGACGGGCGGATCACAAGGTCAGGAGATCGAGACCATCCTGGCTAACACGGCGAAACCCCGTCTCTACTAAAAAAAAAAATACAAAAAACTAGCCGGGCGAGGTGGCGGGCGCCTGTAGTCCCAGCTACTCGGGAGGCTGAGGCAGTAGAAAGGCGTAAATCCGGGAGGCGGTGCTTGCAGTGAGCTGAGATCCGGCCACTGCACTCCAGCCCGGGCGACAGAGCCAGACTCCGTCTCAAAAAAAAAATAAAATAAAATAAAAGGGGGCATTGCACTAAGTTGTGTTGAGAACCACTGACCTATAATATCTTTTTACTGCATTTATTATTTTGAATGGACACATCATAATTGTACAATTTATGGGGTACATGTGATGTTTTGGTGCATGTATATCATGAATAGTGATCAAATCAGGGTAACTAGCATATCTGTCACCTCAACCATTTGTTATTTCTTTGTACATGGATAAAGAAAATGTGCTGTATGCATTTGTCCATTGATGAACACTTAGGTTGATTCCATAACTTGGCCATTGTGAATAGTACTGCAATAACCATGAGAGTGCAGATGTCTCTTCATATTGCTTTCTTTTCAATATGGTATATAGCAATATATATATATACTCACATACACACACATATATATGGGGGATATAGAAATGGAAGAAAGGAAGAAGATCACGTTTTTATCTAATGCTTTCTTCTTTTCTATTGTTACTTTCTTTATATTTTTATCTTTGAAGCTCAGATTTATCATAAATGCTATATACAATTTTAAATATTTTCCTTTTCCTAATTGTTTACGGTAGCAAAGTAACATTCTGCTTTTAAGGTCTTCTTACCAGATGTGAAATATTCCCAAATATTCCCAAATGAAGCAAAACTTTTCTTGAAAACTTGTGCCCTAAATGGAATGAAGTAACTAAAAATTAAACACAGCCCATAAAAATTTTTTTACTTCATGTTATAAATGCCAGTACAAAAAATGGAAGATTAAGTTGCTATAATCCAATTTTTAATATCCTTTTTTTGTATGATACAATGGTTTGAATGTTTTTTCTCTCCAGATCTCATGTTGAAAACTAATCCCCATTGTAGCAGTGTTGAAAGGAGAGGCCTTTAAGAGGCGATTGGGTTATGAGGACTCTGCCTAAATAAATGGAAGCATCATTTATGGATTAATGAATTAATGGATTATCACAGGAATGGGACTGGCAGACCTTTAAGAGGAATATATATATACACACACATATATATTTGCTCCATTGATCTAAGTTGGAAGTGAAGGTTTAGTAAGAAATACGTAATATAATAACTGGTGGAGCCCTCTGACGACTGATGATTCTGACAGATGATTTTATCTGCCTATGATGTCAAAATTTAAAAATTATAATTATGAAAATTTTAATTATAAAATGTAATACATTATAAAATATAATTTTAGATTTATTCTAGTACCTCAGAAGTTTAATCTATTGGGGTAGACTATATAAGACTATAAGTCTGTATAAGCATTAGATTTTGATCACAGTTTTGGCTAAATATTTAATTTTTTAAAAGATTTAGCTAAAAAGGTGTATTTGGTACTAAACTCATTGTTATTGTTGTTATTCTTTTGCTGCTAAAAGTTGAAAAGTTTGTTTCCTTGTTGAGAATATAAATAAAACAAATTACTTTGTGTTAACTTTCAGTATAGACTAGGTCCTTATGCTATGTTTCTTGGGCAGGGGAGAGGAGGTCTTACCTGGATTATGTTGCACAAAACAAACAAACGAAAAATAGTATAATAGCCAAACTCCCCCCTTGACCCTGCAAATAGCTTATAGAAGTAGCCTGAGAATATCATATTATAATTATTCTGCTTAATTTGCTCTTTGTTTAGATTTAAAATACATCTTTCAAACATTGTTTAAAGGGAAAAAGGAATCATGTCAAAATGTTTCAGGAAATGATTTAAGTTAGATATAAAGAACATAGTTCTGATTTTGAAGTGTTAGTGGAACCCAAACAGAAATGATTAGTACTCTCTCAAGATCATGATATGATTCTTAAAGTGGCTATTTCAAAGCCTAGAAATAACACTGTGCTACTGACTAATATCTACAGAGTACTGCAAAAGATGCTGAATAGAAAAGTAGATGGTGTGAAAATTTTAATTTTTAAATAGCAAAGCTGTTGTCTGGGTATTGTCAGTAACTTTCAGAAATCCTAGAGAAAATGATGATTATGTCAATACAAGGAAAACAGCAATTAACAGAATAGGAATTGTAAAGAGCTTCAGCCAATGGAAAAAGAAGCGAGGCTTCTGAAGACTCCCGACAACTCGTGTCTGCAAGGGTTTCAGCGACCGGTCCCACTGGGTCAGGATGGCATTTCTGGCTCCTGGCCACTTCCCTGGGCCCACCAGCCTAAACTGGTAGGAACTACAAGGGCCAAAATAAACTTCCATGGCCAATTTGGGATCTGTGAGAAATAGCCATGGGATGTTGGGCTTTACCCCAATGAAGGAGGAGAGTTCATCCATATAAACAATGTAATCCGTCTGTAAGGTCTCGCTTTTGCCATACCTAGAGATGGGAGAGAAAACACCACAGTGGATACCCAAACTCTGTGTAGAAACAGAACAGACAAAATGGCTCACAACTTTATATCAGTGAGAATTAACATCAGTCTCTCTCTCTCTTTAAAAAATCTTCCCACACTACCCTGACATAAAACATCAATTTCTTGTGTAAGGAGAATATCATTTGTTTATCCTGTACTTTGTAGTTTTTTAAAGAGCTTTCATATTGGTTTCATTTGGAAATACCCCAACACTGCAATGTAGCTGAGAAAGACATTTTTTATCCTTATTTACAAATGGATAGATTGTCTCTTGCTCAAGTGATGCTTCTATAATAGTTCATGGCCACTGAGCTAATTAGTGACAACTAGAAATGAAGCCCAGTTCTCCAGATTCATTCTCACTTTTCTGAGTCATTTTCATTAGAGGTATACCTTTGAATTATCGTCTACATCTTAGAGGATTTATGGTCTAGAGAATGGAAGCCCACATCCATGTATTCCCAAACTCTTCCGATTTCAAATCCTTTCTAGGTCTTCTTTCTATGATATATTACAGGAGGCATGGAGGGCTAAAACTGACTATGTAATGTAGATTCTCAATCCTATTATTCACTCTGTGCCTTGCACTAAAAATAACTTAATACAATGTCAGAAGCAACGTAGGTCTTCAATTAATATTTGTTGAATGGATGAATATAGCTTGTAGCTGTCGTTCCAATGACGTCATTCAGGATCATTTAAAGTTAAAACAGTTCCAAGCATTCACAAATTCTCACTTTTCTATGGAAATTCTACACTCCTATTACAATAGGTACTCTTACCATTTGCGCTTTCCCTCCATTTTCTCATTAATATCATTCATCATGTCTTCCATAGAAGGCAAAGTACAAGTTCCTGAAAAAGAAGGAAAGACATGATGGTAGTTAAATGAGTCTGGCATAGGACCAGCCTACAATTTTCCCTTTTTAATAATGAGTTATGAATCACATTAATTGGTGATCATTTTCAGACAGACATCAAATTCAGTTCTAGTCTTCTCAGAACTCATATTTGTCATAAAAATTAAAAAAACATTACCTAAATAGCTTTGCTCTTAAACTGGTTACAAGGTGTTTAAACTCAATTTCATAGATATATTTTAATCTCTCAGTCATATTTTAAGAATGTTATATTTTAAATTATAGCCAGAGGTGAATTGGCATCACTTTTCCAAGATTTATGAAGAAAAAACTTCATAGACATTAATCCTGCTTTGCCAGAAAATGGAATTTCCAGAAGATAGAGAATTTGGTGAAGGGCTAAGTTTTTCTATAGAAAGCCAATAGTTCTTGAATGTGACTGAGGATATGGACTGTCCACAAGTCAGAAAGGACATAAGGGAGACCCAGGAGACTAGCCCTAACTTGGGGCTGCCCCAGGATCCAGGTTTACATAGGTTTGCAGAGTTCCCTGAAACCCAGACCAAAACAGGCTTTTGTGTCCAGAAATTCTTCATATTTAGGATGATTTCTTTGGCAGTCTTGGAATTAACTTGAAAGAGAATAAAACTCTCAGCCCAGATATGATTGCTCAATACCTAAAATGGCTTGCTTAATTTCCCATTTCTACACTTCTTACAGGGAGGGTCACTTGAACAACTTTTGTAGATGTGGCCTGGTTCCAGGCCTTGGAACTTGTCATGCTTTTCAGGGGAAGCGATTGAAAAGAAAGAGACTGCTTTTTAGCCCACCAACTATTGCCATTGGGTTGTTGTAACTAGCCCCTCTTGTCTTGGTACTTTGGTTTTCCAAATCTAGGTTGTTTGCCTTGTCTCTCATTTCCCTTAAGACAGCCTGTGCCTTGTACATCAATTTTCCCCATAAATTGCCTTGTTTCCTTTCCTCAGAGCCCAAGTTACAACTCTTATCCTCAGACAGAGTGAGGGTCCCACCCTTCCTTTAATGCCAGCCTCTCTGGGTCTGAACCCTAAGTGGAACGCTGAGTGAAATTTCATGCCTTTACCTTCCTGGCTACCTGGCCATATGATCTGCATCTTCCCACAACCATATTCCAACCTGCTGCTGGGAGATGCTGCCTGCCTTTCTTGCCTGACCCCAATCAAGTTTGTTGTTTCCTTTGTAAAATATAAGGGCTTAGCATTCTTATGTATTACAGACTGATCATCTACCACACTTAGCACTTTCTGCCTCTATTGATCCACTGTTTGTTCTTAGCACTTCCTGCTTCTATTGATCCACTGTTTGTCCTTATTTTGTCAGGGAAGAAACAGTAGTAGAAAAGCCATTGCCTTCCAGCAATCATATTTTCCATGACTGTGGACATTCGAAGTTGGCTGGATATTGGCTTGTAAACATATTTTCTTATGAACTTTTCAAGCAATGTAATTCTACTGAGTTTTGCAATCATAATTTTTTAAAGTTGTCATTCACTTAGTCTTAAGTGGATGCAAGCTTTGGTGGTCTCAAATCTAATGAATGATCTTGGGTAATTATCAGCTCTAAGAAGTTAGAAGTCACAAAATACCTCCTCTAATAATATCTTGTACTATTGCATACAATAATCCAAACTGGTATACTTTAAATTGCTTACAAAATATAGCACCAAAGAATATAGAATTCTAAATTTTCAAAACTGAAGGGGACCCTGTAACTAGGATTATTGTTTTCACAAAGATACAAAGTTATTGTCACTGGCATTCATCTTCCCAATCCATGAGCCTTTTTATTGACTTACCCTTTATTACTCGTGCTGCCCAGCGGGACTGGAGGTCAACTGTGGGAATGGCAGCCCCAAGGGACTGGACAAAGCCAATCACTGCTATGGTTGACTTCTCAAGTAGAGGAGGAAAGACTCCTTTAAATAAAATGATCTCATTGTTTCTGTTTTTGATGATAGACTCATCAAGGAACATGTAGGCATAACTATAGCCTGTTGCAAAGATTACACAGTCAATGCCCTCAAATGTGGTCCCATCCTCAAAAATGGCCGAAGTCTCTGTGAATTTCTTCACATTAGGCTTTACGGACACAATGCCACACAGAATGCAAGCTGGGAGCTCATCATTAAATACAGGTTCTTTCCTCAGGACTCTGTATGGAAAACAGAGATAATTATTAGAAGTATAATATTTCCCTCTTGTTTTTATTGGTCCATATATAAATTGATAAGCAAAAAGTGGCCCAACATTTTTTTTTTCTGAGCCATAGAGTATCTCCAATATGGCTGAAGAGCAAAATTGTTGGGAGGCAACATTGGGAAGTAAGAGAAGTTGCCGTTTGCTGGCCCCATCTCTATTTTCTGTGATCCTTCTCTTCCATGGAGCTCTTTCCAAATCCCAGAATAAAGACTTATGCCCAGTTCCCTGTTAAAGCCTGTTTCAGGAAAAACTCTGAAGTGAGGGTACTTCAGTGTTTACATTTTTTTAATTTGCTACTTATTCAGTGGGAACTTTGATAAGATTGTTTTTTAAATTCTTGGTGTCTCATATTTCTCATCTGGAATGTCAATAATGTTTGTAGTACCTCAGAAGTTCCCTAAATTATATAAAGAGTTTTGCACCATCTCTAGCATGTGCATAGAGCTTGAAAATGTTAACTGCTATTCTTAATTCCGTATACTCCAAGTTGGTCATCATAATGTGGAGAAGATCAAACAGGAGGAGGAAAGTCAAAGGTGTGAAAGCTGTAGCTGGGCTCTTGAGGGATGAAGTTTGAGCCCTGTGCAGACAGAGGCACCAGTCAGGTGAAGGAGGGAGCACCCAGGAATTTAAATAAGGCCAGAGGGAGGGTGCCAGTTTGAGGTTTTGGCGACTGCAAATCTGGAAAGAGAGAGCTTTGGACTACTTTTTATTGAATAATATCTGTAGTGGGAGCAGAGAAATCTGAACTCGGGAATGAACGTGAATACAGTTGAAGGAAAGAGTGTTGTTCTTGTATGGCTGTGGGAGCTGTGAGAGAGTGCTACAGGCAGATTCCACTGGAGAACAAACTGAGTTGGACAACAAGATTGGTTGGAATCTTGGAAGAAGGCTTGACTCACTTGCACTTATTACCTGCCATGTATGTTAAACCTGTGGCCATCAGGTTTTCACCTCCACCACCACCACACTGAAATGGCTCTTGTCAAGGCCGTCAGAATCAGGCTCTCAGATCCAGTGGTCCACCCTCACTTTCACTTTTACTCAACTTAGCATTTAACACAGTTGACGGTTTTTTCTTTCTTGAAACACTGTATTCATTTTGTTTCCAGGTCATCACTCTCTCTCAGTTCCTTTCCTACTTTCCTGGCTATTCTTTCTCTGTCTCCCACAGATGTCTTCTCCTCTTTTCCTCTTCCTGACTTCTGACAGTGGCATACCTCAGGACTCAGCCCTCAGATCTTTAGTCTCCTCCATTTACACACATTCAAGAGATGTCATCTAGTTTCATTTCTTCAGGAAAAATTTTCACATGACTCCAAAGTTTTAACTTCTGGTTTGAGCCTCAAAGTCAGTGTTTCCCACTGCTGGTCAACATTCTTCTACCTGAATGTCTAATAGGCATTCTAATTTTAATATGTCTAAAACTGAACTTCTGTTCCTCCTGTAGTTTTTCACATTTTAGTAAATGTCAGTGTCGTCCTTTTTCAAGTGTCTTGAAAGACATTCTTACCCACTCCTTGCTCTCTCATCCACTATCTAGTCCATAGGAAATCCTATTCGGGTCTACCTTCAAGCTATCCAGAAATCTGCCCTATTCTGACCACTCACTGCTAACAAATTTGGTCCAGACCAACATCCCCTCTTATTCAGGTTTTTGAGAGTAGCTTTTTAACTGGTCATTTCATTTCCTTCCTTGCCTTGCCCTTACATTGGATGATGACCACAGCAGCTGATCAATCTCTGCAATGCTAACTTAGGTCTTGTCATTCATTTGCTCAGATGCCTGCTGTGGTTTCCCATTGCTTTCAGCATAAAAGCCAGAGTCCTTACAATGATCTACAAGGCCCATGCCATCCAACAATTTTTATGTCTCTGGTTTTATCTCCTGGCGCTCTCTCCTCATTCTCTTTTCTCCAGGAAGAGAAGCCCATTGTTGTTTGTTGATCATGCCAGCTCTGCCTGTGAAGAGACAATGCCCTGGCTGTGTCCTTAGTCTGGAATATCCTTCCCCAGAGACCCTCATGACTCATTCCCTCAACTCCTTCAGAGGTTTTCTTTAAAGTCTCCTTCTCTCTGAGACATACTCTGACGACTCTACTGGAAATTGTCCTGACAGCACTTGCCATTACCTTTATCTGCTTTGTTTTCTTCCCCAAAGCACACATCGCCATATCTTATGCTATTGTTTGTTGTCTGTTTCCCACCATTTAGAATGGAGGTTCCATGAGGACAGGGATTTTTGCCTGTTTTGTTCACTGCTATATCCTCAGGGCTAAACACAGGACCTGGCATATAATAAACGTGTAATAAATGTTTGTCAAATTAATGAATTCACTTTGTTGTAAACAGCTCATAACTTGGGTTTTTCAACTCGTGTCAAAGTCATTTCTTGTTATGTTGCTGGCTTGGAGGATCTTATAGGAGAAGATGGGAAGAAGACTGAAGATGCAAGCATTGGCATGTATGTGTTTAGTGAGAGGGGTCCGTTAAGGAGTGGGTAATGAAATGGAAAGGGAAAGGTAGGACAGGAAAAGTTCTCTTGCTGTGCTTAACTTTGCCATTAAATGACAGGCAGTAGAGCAAGTGGCCAAGAGTGAGAGGCTCTGGAATCAGCAGATCTGGGTTTGTTTTGAATGCTGCTTCTACTTTCTAGCTGTGGGAACTTAGTAAAGTTATTAACTACATTGAAACTCAGTTATCTCATCTCTAAAATGGAGATACTAATAGAGCTCTCTTCATAATTGTTGTAAGGATAAAACAAAATAATATATGCCAGAGCCTTAGCAGAGTCTTGCTAAATCTCTGACATGTATAAAATGCTTAAAAGAGGTTAACTTTGATTATCATTACTCCCGGGACTAATTCTTGGGGCATTATATAATTTTCCAGCTGTGTAAATATAGCAAGGATTGTAAAATAGGAAATCACTCTTAATTTTTGCAGTTCTTTATCTTCTGATAGATGAGATGTGATTGCTAATATTTTTATTTGTTTTGGAGTTACAGGACATTAAGGATTGTTGACACTGAACTAAAGGCCAGCAGGCATATCACGTTTAACTCTGCATTACCCATTTAAAGGCATCAAACCATAGTTTTCATGCTTGAATCTTGCATTCATCTGCTTCATGTACAACCAGTCAGAGATGGCTGTTGGTAAATTGTTCTTGAGAAAGGTTCCAAATCGAGTGATAAGCACCATGTCCCAGGGATAACCATTGTCCCAGACGCGGCTCATCACCCAGGAGCCACTTCTGGAGCTGATCACGACCTTAAAAAACACCATTTCAACCATGAAATTAGTGACCATTTGTAGTGGATATTCTGATGAGCTCCCCAGATCCTTCTTGAGGAATGGATCTATTACCCCAGCTGCAGAAAGTGGTGTCAGAAGGCATCTCTCATCTGTCAGTCCTCTTTGACAGTTGTTTTGGCTGAAGAGAGGGGCCTCACCCAACATCTTCTATTCTTTCTGAGTTTCCTCCATCTAGTGACTGGTCAATGCAGGCATATAAAGGCCCAGTCCCTCACCTCAAATTGGGGCAATGCCCAAGGACCATTCCAGCTTCAAAGTAAACAGAAGCTTTCTTCCCTTCCTGCAGAAGTATGGATCCTGAGACTGCTCCCAAATAAATTTCTGAACTTGACATCTGCGTCTTAGGGTCAGCCACCCTGCCATAGTGCTGCAGGCAAATTTTCATATTTTAATCAATCCCTGCTACAGGTGACTAATAACTTAATTCTAGTCACATTTTTCCTAGTGCTTATCTAACTATTGCTGTCTACAAATAAGCAATTATGATCTCAAAATAGGCGTTTTAAAACAAAATGCCTGCTACTATCTGGAAAGAAGGTGAGAAATTTGGAATCAGAAAACCACACGCTCAAACACTGACTCTCCTACTTATTAATTATGTGATTTGAAAAAATTCCTTTAACTTCTCTAATCTTGTTCCCTCATTCCTAAAATGGAGAGAATCGAATTTGCCTCATCAAATTTGTGTAAGGGTTAATTCGATGTGATAAACTATGTCACATCGCTAACGTTACCTGGCAGATAGTATGTGCTCAGTAAATGTCAGTTTCCTCTCCTTCCCCTTCTGTTATGCTAATCCCTAATAGTGTAGTTTTCAGGCTTTGTCTTTTTTAAAACCAATTTTTATATACCGTATCACTTCAAGGCATTTGTTATAAGAGGTGTAATCCCAGCACTTTGGGAGGCCGAGACGGGCGGATCACGAGGTCAAGAGATCGAGACCATCCTGGTTAACACGGTGAAACCCCGTCTCTACTAAAAAATACAAAAAACTAGCCGGGCGAGGTGGCGGGCGCCTGTGGTCCCAGCTACTCGGGAGGCTGAGGCCGGAGAATGGCGTGAACCCGGGAGGCGGAGCTTGCAGTGAGCTGAGATCCGGCCACTGCACTCCAGCCTGGGCGACAGAGCTACACTCCGCCTCAAAAAAAAAAAAAAAAAAAAAAAAAAAAAAAAAAAAAAAAAAGAGGAACTAGACAAATAAGAAGAGACTAAAGGAGTCTGGGCGTGGTGGCTCACGCCTATAATCCCAGCACTTTGGGAGGCCGAGGCGGGCAGATCATCTGAGGTCAGGAGTTCGAGACCAGCCTGGCCAACATAGTGAAACCCCATCTGTACTAAAAGTACAGAAATTAGCTGGGTGTGGGGTGTGGTGGCAAGTGCCTGTAATCCCAGCTACTCAGGCTGAGATGGGAGGATTGCTTTAACCTGGGAGATGGAGGCTGCAGTGAGCCGAGATTGTGCCACTGCACTCCAGCCTGGGCAACAGAGTGAGACTCTGTCTGGGAAAAAAAAAAAAAAAAAAAAAAAAAAAAGACTAAAGGATCAATTAATTAAATAGAGAGCCTCTGAAATTGGTCTTCCCTCTAATTTATCACATATGCAAATAATCACATATACAAATACAAATCTCTTAAAACTATGAGTTCATCATAAATTTCCTGAATCTCAGAAGCTGAAATAATGATTTACCTTTATTTATGCAGAAATCTAATTATTTTATCCTGTCATTCAAGTTCTTAAAATATGTGATATAACCTGATTCCAATCTTTCTTTCCTGTAACTCAATCCTATATCTACTGTTCCTTGGATTCAGAAGCTTTGGCTTTCAGTTCTGTAACCCTTCAGTGGCTCAAACATTAATTTTCCCGATGACTTTCAAGAGGACAATTGACATTTCTGGTCCTCATTTATCCTTTCTGTAATAAAACTACCTTCTTCCCAAAAGCAAAGGAGCTCATTTACAGGAAGGTATTTGAGTACCATAATGTATCATATAAATTGTTAGCATTAAGAACCTCCATTCGGCTGGGGTCGGTGGCTCACGCCTGTCATCCCAGCACTTTGGAAGGCCAAGGCGGGCGGATCACAAGGTCAGGATATAGAGACCATCCTGGCTAACATGGTGAAACCCCATCTCTACTAAAAATACAAAAAATTAGCCAGGCGTGGTGGCGGGCGCCTGTAGTTCCAGCTACTCCGGAGGCTGAGGCAGGTGAATGGCATGAACCGGGGAGGTGGAGATTGTGGTGAGCCGAGGTCATGCCACTGCACTCCAGCCTGGGCGACAGAGCGAGATTCCTTCTCAAAAAAGAAAGAAAAAAAGAAAAAAAAGAAAAAAAGAAAAAAACAACCTCCATTACAGCAAGATGAAACTATAACCTACAATAAATATACAGCACCCATTTTTTTGTCTTCATGCCTCTGCTCAAGGCATTTCCAATTCTAAGAACAGCCTCTGTCGCCTCTTCAGTCACATGATTTAAATTTATTGTTCAAGGACTGGCTCAGTTCTACCACCTTTGTGAAGCATCCAGTTTTGGAATCATAGCATTTAGTGCCTGAATCACTTGTTTATCCTTTATTCCAGTGACAGCTCTTATTCCAGAGCAGGGATCATGCCTGTTATGTTCACCACTCTCTTCAGCACCCAAGCCAGTGCCTGGCACATAGTAGGCTCTCAATAAGTAGTCATGGAATAAATGTATGCATGCATGCATAAATGAATGAATAAATGAGCCACTCTATATTGCTTAAATCCTGTTCAAAAGCTTTAACTTTATCACAAGCCCCAGAAGTACGTTCTATTTTTATCTGTTTTACCATTGAGAAAACTGCCTCAGAGAGATTGAAGGACTTGCCTGAGTCTCAGAGTTATAACCTTAACCCTAAATCTGTGCTAGTTTTAGAGAAATTGATCAGAGACATTAGGCACCAAATGTCCTGAAGAAGGAGATTGTTGAATGACAGTATTACTCCTTGCTGATGCTCTGCCTTTGTCTATGAAGTGATTTAAAACCTCAGCTGTTACTTGGGGAAGCTCAGTTATGTGAAATACCACTTAGTCTTTACATCAGATACCCTTCCTTCCTCCCCCACATTTCCTATCACACCTTTCCAATGATAATAACTCTTCTGTCAGTAAAGAGAGTTGCCTGAGTACCCGGGGAGTAGTACCTGTTCTGCTGTGTGGCTGAGTTCTGTGGCAATATCACAGCCCGAATTCCCCAGGCCAACCACCAGGACACGCTTTCCTTTGAATACACCTGGTTCTTTGTAGTCCCTGCTGTGAAAGCATTTGCCTTTAAAGTGGTTTAGTCCTGAGTGAAAAGCGAGAAATATATGACAATTTGAGTCATATATTTAAACAAAGACTTTAACAGAAGCAACCTTGTGAATAGATGCAGTCACAATAATGTGCTATTTTAACACACCAAGCGTATTAGATATAACAGAAGTATATTTTAATTTAACCTGCTTGTACCTTTAGAAAAAAGAAGACATTATCGAGATATTCATTTTTGTCAGTTACGTGGCTAGCAGCTTCAATTGTGGCCTTACCTGGAAAGGACTCTTTTGGTAGGTTGGGATAGACATGATGTCCAGAACAAACCATCACAGCATCAAAGACAGCCGATTCTCTTTTACCATCCCTTTCAGTGGTAACATCCCATTGGCCAGTAGTTGCAAAATCAGGACGTTTATTTACACTGGATACAAATGTCTAAGAGAAATACAGAAAGAAACCCCCCTTTTCTATGCTAGCAAATGGATTAGGCAGAAACAGTATGAAAAAAGAGAAAGTGGGTTAGTAAAAGTATTTAACTAATTATTAAGATACATATTACAAATTTAAAATTCCCTCAGAATTAATCAAAACACTAAATGGTATCTGCCTATCTATTTGTCCCTGCATGATTTCTTGTGCATAACCAGTATTTTCTGGAGTACAAGAGTGACACCCCTTGGAGATATGGCAGTGACTTCAATTACAATTTACAAGAGGTATACGTCACGTATACTAGAAAATCTGATGGCCAATAATGTTCTGGATCACATTCCCATATGTTCTGGTTCAGTACATCAAAGATAGCTCAAAGATAGACATACTGAACCAGAATATATGAAAATGTGATCCAAAAAATTATTAAATTTGTTAAATTAAAATTAAAACTATTAAATTCAAATTTCTAACACGCTCCTAGGTGATGCTGATGTCACTTGGACTATACACTGAGTAGCTTTGACTAGATTATCAATAAATATTTCTTCACAGTTAAATGGCTGCCTGTTGATGTGCTCCCTGTTTTAAAAAAATCTTTCAATTCTTCTGATTATATTGGAAAAAGAATCTCTATTTGGTATTAATTGTTCTTAAAAAGTTTATTATATACTATTTCATATATATAGGAGAATACACACACAAACACACGTAACATTTTTGTTAGTTATGAAATATAATGAGAACTTATGGACCCATGAGACCTAATACATCATTTGTTTAGAATAACTCTGGGATTATTTAGTTAATTAGTTACGCTATTGCATATATCAACTTTTTTTTGTATAGGTGTCTGTTTGCTGCTGCCTTACAGAAATGCAATCTATTTTTATATATTGATCTTATATACCACCATCTTGCCTAACTTTTTTTGTATTGCTATTAATTCTAGTAATTTATCTATTCTTTTAGAATACATAGACAATCACATTATCTTCAATAACTGTGTTTTACTTTCTTTTGAGTTGTCATTCATTTATTTTTCTTTACTTACTGTACTGTTTCTTAAATTTCTTAAGACTATTGAAAAGAAGTAATTACTATTGAAAACAGTAATTAGGAATTCTTATCTTGTTCTGAAACTTTACAGTGAATGCTTCTAACTTTTCATTCTTTAGCACAGCACTGACCAGTACCAATATAGTATGAGCAACATATGCAATTAAAAAATTTCTAAGGCTGGGCACGGTGGCTCACGCCTATAATCCCAGTGCTTTGGCAGGCCAAGGCGGGTAGATTACCTGAGATGGGGAGTTCGAGAACAGCCTGACCAACATGGAGAAACCCCATCTCTACTAAAAATACAAAATTAGTGGTGCATGATGGCGCATGCCTGTATTCTCAGCTACTTGGGAGGTTGAGGCAGGACAATCATTTGAACCTGGGAGGCGGAGGTTGTGGTGAGCCGAGATTGCACCATTGCACTCTAGCCTGGGCAGCAAGAACAAAACTCTGTCTCAAAAAAAAAAAAAAAAAAAAAAAAAATTCTAATAGTCACATTAAAAAGTGAAAAAAATGTATAATTTAAATCTGTCTGTTATGTTAGCATTTCAAAATGTAATTAAAATTTATTAATATGGTATTTTACTTTCCTTTTTAATAATAAGACTTGGAAAGTAAGTGTATATTTTATATTTATTCCACATCTCAGTTTTGTGGCTAGTGGCTACTATATTGAACAGTGCAGATTTAAGATAAATTAAGATAAAGATTAAGATGATGTTTGTGTATGTTTTGCTGGTTCAAGACAATTCTGCTCTAAGTTTGGCAAGAGTTTTCTTTTGATTTTCTTTTTTTTTCTTTCAAGCACAAATAGCTGTTAAATTGATTTTTGAAGGATTTTTGCATTGATTTTCATGAAGGAGATTGACTTGTAATTTTCCTATTTCGTATGATCTGGTCCGCCTTTGATGTAAAGGTAATAATGTCATAAAATAACTTTGGAAATCATATCTCATTTTCAAATCTCTGAAAGTTTATAAAACTTTGAAGTAATTTGTTCACTGCAAATTTGGAAGTACTCACCCATGGAACTGCTTATTTTCTTTATGAGAAGATTTTTAATTTCTAGGTCAAAAGAACTATAAATCACCAAATGACAATTCAGGCTTTCTACTTATTATTGAGTGAGTTTTGAAAAGGTTTTGTTAAAAAATTGAGAAAATTTAACTAACTTAAAATATTACTTGGCAAACACTTTTATAGTATTCTTGTTATATTTTTTATTTCATCTGTATCCATTTTGTCTACCCTTTCCTTCTCAATATTATTTATTTGTGCCTTTGATTTTTTTTCCTTAAACTTCCAGCTATTTATCTATTGCTTATTTATTTTTTGAGACAGGGTCTCACTCTGTCACCCAGGCTGGAATGCAGTGGCGTGATCTCAGCTCACTGCAACCTCTACCTCCTGAGCTCAAGCAATCCTCCCACCTCAGCCTCTTGAGTAGCTGGGACCACAGGCATGCACCACCACATCTAGCTAATTTTTGGATTTTTTGTAGAGACGAGGTTTCTCCATGTCATCCAGGCTAGTTTCTAACTCCTGGACTCAAGCGATCTGCCTGCCTTGTCCTCCCAAAGTGCTGGGACTATAAGCATGGGCCATTGTACTTGGCCACTGTTCTTCATTTTATTAGTCTTTTCAAATAATTAACTTTCAATTTTGTACATATGCTTCATTTTATATTTCATAAATTTCTTCTTATATCCCCTTCATTCTATGTTCTTTGAGTTTATTCTGCCTTTCTTTAATTTCTTAAACTTTCTTACCTTATTTTTAAACTTTTTTATTTTCTAATATAAACATTTACGTTTATAATTTTCATGAAAATTCCTGTTTCCCACAAGTATTGATACATAGACTAAATTAACATTCAGTTATAGATATTTTTAAATTCCCATTGAAATTTCTTCTTTGACCTATATGTTGTTTAGAAAAAAAGAGTTTTTAATTTCCAAATTCACAGGTATTTTACATTTATTTCTTTGGTATTGATTTGTAAATTAGTAGTGATTTGGTCTAAGAACTATAGGTGGTCAAATTTTGTGAATTTTCCATGTATCCTTGAGAAGAAGATAATTCTCTGAACCTAGAGTTAGAGAGGCCACACTGTTAAAAATGTTGACAGATTAGTAAGGGATACTGAAAGGAACAAGTGAGAATCCAGTAGCAGACATAGACTTCTTCAGCATTATGACAAGAGCTAAATTGTTGATAACATCTTACCTTAAATTGTATGTACTTCAGGAGGTTCTTTTCTTTGGCGAATGCAGTGAGATATTCCTGGATCTTGCTGTTGTGCATAAAGTTGGGGAAGTCATCAGGATATGGGAAGTCTGGGAAACACATCATCTCTTTGGAAGAGTTGGTAAAGACTGATTTGTAAATGCTAGCCCTGCCCTCCTCTGCATGGTCCTGTGAATGTATAGTTTCAAATGGAAGAGAATTGGTAAATGAGTATACTGATCATGGTCAGGACTAGTTCCAAGTAATTACAGTCATCCCTTGGTATCTATGGAGGGTTCCAGGACCTCTGTGGTTACCAAAATCTGCGATTGCTCAAGTCTCTTATATAAAATGATATAGTATTTTCATATAACCTATATACATAAACTTTGAATCATCTCTAGGTTACTTATAATACCTAATGCAATGTAAATGCTAAATGAATAGTTGTAGTGTATTTTTTCATTTTTATTTTTTATTAGTTTTTTTTGGATTTTTTAAATCAATGGTTGGTTGAATCTGTGGATACAGAACTTGCAAAAACAGATGGCCAACTGTATACTTATTTGAGTCATCCTTTATTCACAGTAAATTCAGTAAGACACACATAAATTAACTTCACTTCAACAATTGATGCTAGTCATGGAAACTTATTAAATTAACTTAGGATATGGAAGAATACCTTTCTTAATATCCTTTAAGAAAATAAATCTTAATCTTTTCTTTTCTAAGGGAAACAAATTTTAAATTTCATTATGTCCTTTAGGCCTATGCAACTAGAATCCTTTCATTCCCTTGGACTGTTTAATATGATGACAGAGATTTTTCAAAATTCAACTTTGTGTAATTTCGGTGTGTCAACTCATGAGCACGAGCATCTGATGGTCAATTTATAAAAGCAAACAGTAACAGGAGGTTGCAACTATTGATTAGATTTGTAAATGTAAGCATTTTAAGACTTAATTTTTAAAAAATTAACCTTAGAATTTATATAATGTATAAAATAAGGTTAACTATTTTGAATCTAACACAGAATTTATGGGCATCACATGCCTTTTGAGTACTTATGTAAGTAACAAAGTTTTAGCTTTCAATGATGTAAAAATATCTGAATTTGCTTTAACTCTAAGGAACTATAGAACCATGCTAATAAAGCCTCAGAGGAAATGTTAAGTGATGATGAATAAAGAAAAAGGACATTGAAGGAAGAATGATCAGCAATGAGAAGGTTAGGACATTGTGTTGTGGTTCTTTAGCCACACACTGAAACAAACTGGGAGATTTAAAAAAAACACTGAGCATTAGGTCCCACTCTCAGAGAATTCGATTTAATTGACAAAAAGTTTTAAAATCTCTTCAGGTAATCCTAAAGTGCAGCCAAGTTTGCAGTCCCAATGTAGAGTTCAACAGATAGAAGCTCATGACCAACAAGCTACAGTTACTGTGGAAGAGCTTACCATAGGACACATCTGTTACAGCTGTGAGCTCTACAAAGCAAGCTGTTGAATGAATAAAAGGCATTAAGTTAAAAAAAAGTACTGGTAGGAGCATAATTTGGAAGAGGTAGAGCCTTGGTTTAGCTCTGTTGAAGCACCAAGGTATTCACATCTCAAGTTTCATGATGAAAGATCAGATTGTAGATCACTATGCGTAGTTGCTATTTCATAGTGGAAAGTACTGAGCACTAGAAATTTCTAATTAGAGCTTATCTAACTCAAAGTTGTCAGGGCCCCCAGAACATGAAATTTTAGTATAATATTGGAATATTACAATCACATCAAAAGCCAATGTGGCTGCAGTTTCATTATTGACAAGTAATTAATTGGCAGATTAGTTGCCATGTTCACTCTAGAAAGCAGTGTGTTCTTGAAATAGGGCATGAGTTTTCTGCTGCTCACATGGTTTGTTGACCCTGCTGTAGGCAAGTGGGATGGGGAAGTGAAAGAATGTGTAGCTTTCTGTGGGTTGGGTAAGTTTAAAGAGATGATAATCAGCATAAAGAGAGAAGAAACATTAAAGGAAAAAATTGATATATAGTCTAGAAACAAATCAGAAGTTAAAAAAGGGTGGTATGCCCAGATGAAAGCCTCTATTCATAAAACTTCATGCAAAATTTCATATAATTTACTGATTTATTGTTTGGGGAGCTCCTGAGAAAAGAGGACATTTTACCCAGATCCGTGGCCTAATCAGAAATGTGGCCTGTGATTAGGCCACAGATCTGGGTGAAATGTCCTCCTTCTGTGACCAAAGAAGGTGAGAGAAATATATCATTTTGGTTCTAGATCAGGGTTAGAAGTCAGAACTAGAAGGGCATAGGAAAGTGCTATAGTAAACAGCTCCAAAATTTCAACTATATGCACCCTTAGTGTTAGTTAAGTTTTAACCAATGTTTGGATCTCTCTGAAATTTAAAAAAATGATAATGTAAAATGATGATGTTAGAAACCAAAGGTAAGGCAAATACAAAATTAACACAATTTTAAAACAATCTCTAATGTGAATACTCAGCCTATTGCTGCACACTTCTAGTGATCTGAGAAACACTGCTGGTTACTCCATCATTTGCAATCCATACGCCCCCTCACAGTAGTAAAATAGGAAACACTGAAAAACCAAAGGTATTTGTTTCTTATGGCCGCTGCAATAAATTACTGCCAACTTAATGGCTTAAAATAATAGCAACTGATTCACAGTTCTAGAAGTCAGCAGTCAGGAAACACTGTAAGTGGGCTGAAAACAAGGTGTGACAGTGCCAGGTTCATTTCAAGAGGCTCCAGGAGAGAATCCATTCCTTGCCTCTTCTGGCTTCTGGTGGATGCTGGTATTTCTTATTTTTTTTTTCAGTGGCAAGAGCCCACTTGTATGCCTTCACTCATGGCCGCTGTGACCATCTTCAAAGATACAGCATAGCATCTTCAAATTTCTCTCTTTCTGTTGAGGTCATCACATCACCTTCTCTCTTCTCTTTGTGTTAAATCTCCCTCTGCCTCTCTCTTTTAAGGATGCATTCGTTATAGCATTTGGGGCTCACCCACATAATACAGAAAATCTGTCCATCTTAAGATTTTTAACTTAATTATATTTGCAAATATCCTTTTCTCTTATAAGGTAAGTAAGATAACATTTACAGTTCCAGGAATTTGGATGTGATATCTTTGAGGAGGGGCATTGTTCAATCATTCAGCCTATTACAGGACATCCTCTGGTTCCCAAGGATTCACATTCATCCCATCTGCAAAATACATTAATCCAATCCCAACATCCTCTAAGTCTCAACCCATAGCAGCATGAAATCAACTTTCAACTCTCATTTATATATTTTCAATTCAAAAGTCCCAAATCTATACCCAAAGGATTATAAATCGTGCTGCTATAAAGACACATGCACACGTATGTTTATTGCGGCACTATTCACAATAGCAAAGACTTGGAATCAACCCAAATGTCCATCAGTGACAGACTGGATTAAGAAAATGTGGCACAGATACACCATGGAATACTATGCAGAAATAAAAAAGGATGAGTTTGTGTCCTTTGTAGGGACATGGATGCAGCTGGAAACCATCATTCTCAGCAAACTATCGCAAGAACAGAAAACCAAACACTGCATGTTCTCACTCATAGGTGGGAACTGAACAATGAGATCACCTGGACTCGGGAAGGGGAACATCACACACCGGGGCCTATCATGGGGAGCGGGGAGGGGGGAGGGATTGCACTGGGAGTTATACTTGATGTAAATGACGAGTTGATGGGTGCTGACGAGTTGATGGGTACAGCACACCAACATGGCACAAGTATACATATGTAACAAACCTGCACGTTAGGCACATGTACCCTAGAACTTAAAGTATATATATAAAAAAAAGTCCCAAATCTCATCATCATATAAATTATCCAAATCAGGTATAAATGAGTCTCTGGGTATGGACCAGGATGAGGCAAAATTTCTATCTGTGAATCTGTGAAACTAGAAAACAAGTTATCTTCTTCCAAAATACAATGGTGGGACAAGCATGGGTAACACTTATAGACATTCCCATTTAGCCAGGGAGGAAAAAGGAGGGAAGAAAAGAATCACTAACCCCAAACTATTTGAAATCCAGCAGGACAAATTCCATTAGGCTTGAAGGCTGTGGCTCAAGCCTCTGCCCTCAGGGCCTGAGGCTCTACCCTCTGGGATATCCTTTCTTTTTCTTGAAGGGTAGCACATGTTGCAGTTCAGTTTTATCAACGTATGATGCCAGCTTCAAATTTTAAAGTCTTCCTTGAGCAGCAAGAAACTTTAGCTGTGTTCCTCTCAATAGCCATATCAGCAGTGTGTTCTATCTTCAGCAACATCTTGCAAAGTAAGTTTGAGTATGAGGCTTTAGTTAAGATCACTGTGTATAAAATATGGCAGGCCAGACACGGTGGCTCATGCCTGTAATTCCAGCGCTTTGGGAGGCTGAGGTGGGTGGATCACCTGAGGTCAGGAGTTCGAGACCATCCTGGCCAACATGGCGAAATCCCATCTCTACTAAAAATACAAAAATTAGTGGGTTGTGGTGGCGCACACATGTAACTACTTGGGAGGCTGAGGCAGGAGAATCCCTTGATCCCAGGAGGCAGAGGTTGTAGTGAGCTGAGATTATGCCATTGCACTCCAGCCTGGGCAACAAGAGAGGAACTCAGTTTCAAAAAAAAAAAAAAAAAAAAAAGACATGGTCAGCTCAATAGACCACTTGGTGAAATGGCAACCAGCAATTTACAAAGGAGTCAAGAATAGGATGGAGAGAAAGGCAAGCTTGAATTGGGATCTTTTCTCCAACATTATCAGCTGTATGATTTTTTTTCTTTTCTTTTTAAGCCTCAAATTCATTTGTAAAAGGAAAAAAATATACCTAGCTTATAGGATTATTATAAATATTTAATTAAATAGAAAAAGTCATGTATCATATAGAACGTGCTTGATAAAATAGCCCTAAGTTTGATCACAAAGAAACAAAAATAACAACAACCAAAAAGCCTTAAGAATCACCAGTGTGTTAATCTGTAGCCCTGTCAACACATTCCAATAACATATAGTAGGCTCCACAACATTGTATAAGATGCTGGGTAGTTTCAAGAGTTTTTTGCAGTTTGCAAAATATCTATATTAATAAGAATGATATCTCATGTCTTTATAATATTTAAAGAGCCGTTATAGACACTGTTTCATTAAATACAACTTCTTCATTGAGGTAAATGATATAATACTGATTTTGCATTTGAGAAGGAAATAGTGGTTTAAAAGGGTTATTGATCTTCCTAAATTTGCATATATACTAATGGGTTTATCAGGAGAAGAAAAATAAGACTTAGGCAATAAGGCTGGAAGACTGTACTGATTGAGTGGAGAACATAGGGAAGCCCCATTCCTGCTGCTGTTTGGCAACACATGAAGTGATTTAATGATGTCTGCTGTAGAACCCTTATTATAAATGCATGGGACAAAGGGGCATTGAAGAACTTCAAAGCAATTCTCAATTATGTAGTTTCACAAGACCAAAGTCAGCACTTGAAACTTTAAAATCCATGGTCCGACTCACTTTGGCAACCTCACCAAATGAATGGGAAAAGCCAACAACAATAAAAAATTATCTAGGAATCCATTTAACCAGAGGTGAAAGATCGCTATGGGGAAAACCACAAAACATGAATAAAAGAAATTGTAGCTGACACAAACAAATGGTAAAACATCTCCTGCTCATGGATTGGAAGGGCCAATATCATTAAAATTACCATATGCCCAAAAGACTTAATGCAATTCCTAACAAAATATCAATGTTATTTTTACAGAATTAGAACAATTCTAAAAATTCATACAGAACCAAAAAAAAAAAAAAGCCCAAACAACCTAAGCAATTCTAAGCAAAAAGAACGAAGCTGGAGGCATCATATTACCTGACTTCAAATTACAGTACAAGGCTATAGTAATTCAAATAGCATGGTACTGGTATAAAAATAGACACATAGATCAGTGGAACAGAATAGATAACTAAGAAAGAAAGCCTCATCCCTATAGCCAACTGATCTTCAGCAAAGTTGACAACAGCATTCACTGGGGAAAGGACACCCTATTCAGTAAATTGTGTTTGGAAAATGAATTGCCATATGCAGAACAAAAGTGAACCGCTATCTCTTACCATATACAAAAATTAACTCAACATAGATTAAAGACTTAAATGTAAGACCCGAACCTACAAAAATTCTAGAAAAAAACAGGTAAAACTCTTTCACCTAGGCTATAACTAAGAATTTATGACTAAGGCCTCAAAAGCAAATGTAATGAAAACAAAAATAGACAATCTAAAAATATTTTTCACATAAAAATAAATAGTTAACAGAGTGAACAGACTACCTTCAGAATAGGAGAAAATATTTGTGAACTATGCATCTAACAAAGGACAAATATCCATAATTTATAAGGAACTCAAGCAACTCAATTTTTAAAGAAGCACAGATAACACCATTAAAAAGTGGGAAAAGGAGATTAAATAAGCATTTTTCAAAAAAAGACATACTAATGGCCAATAAACATGTGGGAAAATGCTTAACATCATGAATTACAGAGAAAATGCAAATTAAAAGTAAAATACTATCTTACACCACAGCAAAATACTATCTTACACCAGTGTGAATGGCTGTTATTAAAGTCAAAAAGGCCAGGCACGGTGGCTCATGCCTATAATCCCGGCACTTTGGGAGTCCGAGGCCAGAGGATTACCTGAGGTCAGGAGTTTGAGACCAGCCTGACCAACATGGTGAAACTCTGTCTCTATTAAAAATACAAAAATTAGCTGGGTGTAGTGGCGGGTGCCTGTAATCCCAGCTACTCAGGAGGCTGAGGTAGGAGAATTGTTTGAACCCAGGAGGTGGAGGTTGCAGTGAACTGAGATGGTGCCACTGCACTCTAGCCTGGGAAACAGATTGAGACTCCAACTCAAGGAAAAAAAAAAAAAAAAAAAAAAAAAAGAGTAAAAAAATAACAGATATTGGTGAGTATGTGGAGAAAAAGAAACACTGTTGGTCGGAATGTAAACTGTAGAAAACAGTATGGAGATTTCTCAAAGAATTAAAAATAGATTTACCATTTGATCCAACAATGCCCCTACTAGATATCTACCCAAAGGAAAAGAAGTCGTTATATAAAAGATTCCTGCACCCATATGTTTATCACAGCACCATTCACAGTAGCAAAGAAATAGAATCAACCTTGTCCAACAAGGATGATTGAATAAAGAAAATGCGGTATATTCATACATACATGTATACATACACACAGTTACATATACATATATATACACACACATACGTATGTGTGTGCATATATACATACATATATATGTATATGTAACTGTGTGTGAATTATGTCTTCTGCAGCAACATGGATGGAACTGGAGGCCATTATCTTAAGTGAAATAACTCAGAAACAGAAAGTCAAATACCACATGTCCTCTCACTTATGATTGGGAGCTACATAATGTATACACATTGACATAGAGTATGGGAATAATAGACATCGGAAACCTGAAAGGGTAGGAGAGTGGGAAGGGGTTGAGGTATGAGAAATTACTTAATAGGTACAATGTACATTATTTGGGTGATGGCTACACAAAAAGCCCAGACTTAACTACTACACATTATATCCATGTAATAAAACTGCACTTGTACCCCCTAAATCTGTAAAAAAAAAAGAAAAAAAAGATGTGAAAAGTTATTGTGTTTTAAATGAGTAAATAACTTAATTATAACTACATAAACCTAACTAATATTTACCACGAATTTTATGTCCAAGTGGCTCTTATTAATGATCTATCAAGGGAGAATTCTGTAATGGAGAATTTCAAAGCCATTGTCTAATTTACTTCTGACTTGCAAGAAGGTTATTTTCCAACTTGTACTGTACTTAGTGGATTCCATTGTGGATCCACTGTACTTAGTGGATGACACTGTACTTAGTGGATTCCAATTCTAACAGATATGGTAACTGCCATGGTAGCAGGTTTAGAAACCTGTGTGCACAGAGCATGTTCTTATACACTTCCCAACCTATTTCCCTAACTATTACAACAACATGCTACTCACTGAAAATTTCCACAGGCCCCCAATGTCATTGCTCTTCTCAAAGCAGGTGGGCTCCAGCCCCTCTTCCAGACAGCTCCTGATGGAGGCCAAGCCACTCACGCCAGCTCCAATGATGGCTACTTTCTTCCCCATGGTCACCTGTGCAAAGGCCCAGAGAACATTTCCAGTAACAACATTGCTGAAAATTTATTTACTTATTTATCTGTTTTGATTTCACTCTTTGGCTTCATAAAAACTTACTTCTTAAGAAACACTGGCTGAGTATGGTAGCTCATGCCTGTAATCCCAGCACTTCGGGAGGCTGAGGTGGGAGGATCACTTGAGCCCAGGAGTTTGAGACCAGTCTGGGTAACAGAGTGAGACCCTGTCTCTACAAACCAAACCAAACCAAAACAAAAAACAACAACAAAAAAATCAGCTGGATGTGGTGGCGCGTGCCTGTACTCCCAGCTACTCAGGAGGCTGAGGCAGGAGAGTTCAGGAGTTCCAGGCTGCAGTGAGCTGTGATTGTACCACTGCACTCCAGCCTGGGTGACACAGTAAGACCTTGTCTCTAGAAAACAAATTCCTTTTAGTGATCTAACTACATTTTCATTTCTCTCTAATTTCTAAAGAGAAAATTTTCTTCTGAAAAAAATAAACACTTTGTTTTTAGTCATCAGCTCTCCAAAAGTAAGAGACTGATGACCCAGTATACATATTTGTCTTTTTTGCTTTTGGAGTTTGTAATTTACTGTCTACCAAAAAGAGTAAGCAGAAGAAATAAAAGAAGATTCACAACTAAAACACATGTAGACATATCCACCTACCCACCCACATACATATGCCTGTATTTGGGAATGAAGAAACATATATGTATATGTACACACACACACAATCTGTATCCTTTTTCTACTTTGATACAGATAATGAGGAACAAAGTCTGAAGATGTCTGTATTTCAGTGTGCCAGGTAGTCACCCCTTCTCCCCACCAACAATGTTCTTCACCTTCTCAATTAAAAAGACAAGTAAATGGTGCATACCTATAGTCCCAGCTACTCTGGGACTGTATATTCCTGTTGAGCAGGGATACCACTTGAGCCCAAGAGTTTGAGGCTGCAGTGAGCTATGGTTGTGGCACTGCACTCTAGCCTAGGTGACAGAGTGAGACCTTCTCCCAGGGAGGAGGAGGGGGGGAAATAAAAGTCATGTTCTTACCTAAAAACAATTTTTTCCCACTATCTTCAACCTTCATTCTCCTCTAAGAAAATTACATTTCCTAACTTTTTATTTTCTTCTGTTCCTGACACTGTCTTTAGGCTCTACCACTACTTCTTTCACTATTTTTTTTTTTTTTCTTTTTAGACAAAATCACATAGCTATGCAGGGAAATAGACTTGGATGATAAAACTCATGATCCGTGATTTCTAGAAACAAACTGCCTGAATTATATCATTCTCATTCTAGCCATATTTGGTATAAAACTACAGCATGCTCCTTCTTCATTTACCCATCCCACCCTCAACCCTTTACCATATCATCCTTTTTTTCTTTTTTCTTTTCTTTTCTGTTTTTTGTTTTTGAAAAGGAGTTTCTCTCTTGTCCAGGTTGGAGTGCAATGGCGCAGTCTCAGCTCACTGCAACCTCTGCCTCCTGGGTTCAAGTGATTCTCCTGCCTCAGCCTCCCAAGTAGCTGGGATTACAGGCTTGCACCACTACGCCTGGCTAATTTTTATATTTTTAGTAGAGATTGGGTTTCACCATATTGGCCAGGCTGGTCTCAAACTCCTGACCTCAGGTGATCCACCCACCTTGGTCTCCTACCTTTTAAATTTTTCTACCTGTTCTTTTCTTCTCTTCTTCTGTATGTCTATGTCCTGTCCAACGTCTGGGCAGTTTGAAAGAGAAAATGTTCTAGTGAGCCCAAATATTAGGAAGATTGTTGGAAAATGGGAGGAGCCGCTCTTAAAGAGATAGTCATTTCTTGGTCCTTGAATGGGTGAGCACACACCAGCTCTGTGATGGATGGGACTCTAGGCCAGTCTCCCATGGCCACCCAGTTTTTGCTTTTCCTTTGATTATAGTAAACACAAGTTGCTGGTTATACTCTTGGACCCTTGGCCTGGGAGTCAAGCAGTTTCTCCCAGGTGACTTTGCAGTTCTCTACTCCATTTCATTATGTGTTATTTCAAAGTTTACCTTGTTTTCCTTATTCCTAGTTCTTTTGTGGGTACCTCATAGTAGTCCTCCAAATACTGTAGAAACTTAGCTACTTAATTAAGATAGCCCAGGAAGGAGGATGACTTTGCTCTCTCTTTTCATGTCCTGTCTTGGAATTTTGGGGTCAAAGGCCTATATTTCTCAAACTTGTATTTACTTGTTTCTGAGTACAGTGTGTGGTCACAGAAAAGATCAAAATTCCACAAATTGATCTGTTAGTACCAGGAACCAGGTAGAATTAGTACCGGGTAAAATTATGTTGGCAGTAAGACAAAATAAACTGCACTTAACTCCCAGTCATGAAATACAGTAAAATTTCAAAAAAAGTTTTCCCATCAACTATATTTCGATGTCACTTAGAATTATAACATCTCACTCATTTTATCTAGTTAACCCCTTCATTCAGCAAGCGATACTTAGCATAAACTAGTATATGTCTAATTTTGAGGAATTACCCTTCATGCCTTTTGAAGACAGAACTCTTCATCTCTGAAATGTGAGAGTATGATAGATTTCAAATCACTTGTATAGCTCTGTGGCCTTGGGCAAGTCACTTAACCTTTCCAAGTCTTGGTTTACTCATTAATAAAATAGGGATAAATACACTATGACTATCTGTCTGACTTTTTTTTAAAAAAACAAGAATTAGAGGATTGAAGGGCATGTACACATAAATACGTTTATACATATGTACCTATAAAATGTGGCATGTAGTTAAAAATGAGCAAACTGACTTGTAGATAAAAATTAAGTCATAGGTTCACGAAGTTTTCTAGGGCTGCAATTCAGATGATATGATTTTCTCTGCTCTCATTTTACATAGAACTCCTTTTCAGTTTTTAATGCTACACAAATAGCATTAAAATAATGCAAAGAAAAGATTGTGAATACTTTAGGAAGCAATACGATTCCTACAGCCTTATTCATTTAAAGACAGGCAGGACACACCCAATTCTACCTTGGCTTCCGATGTTTTATCTCTCTAGGAGGTGAAAAGGCCACCTATTCTTTGCTGTCCTTCACAAGAATATATCTATAGTAGACACATGTATTAGTCCTGTCTCTCTTTAGCCTGTCCTTTGCTTGCCACAGCTTTCTGCAGAGCCCCTTTTTATTTTCTATTTATTATTATTATTATTTTTTTAGAGACGGAGTCCCATTCTGTCACCCAGGCTGGAGAGCAGTGGCGATATCTCAGCTCACTGCAACCTCTGTCCCCCGGGTTCAAGCAATTCTCCTGTCTCAGCCTCCTGAGTAGCTGGGATTACAGGCGCCTGCCACTGCACCCAGCTAATTTTTTGTATTTTTAGTAGAGACAGGGTTTCACCATCTTGGCCAGGCTGGTCTTGAACTGCTGGCCTCGTGATCCACTCGCCTCGGCCTCCCAAAGTGCTGGGATTACAGACGTGAGCCACCATGTCCAGACTGGAGCCCCTTTTTAAATCTTCAGAATCTCAAATGCCCAGGCTCTGTTTGGGGGAGTGGACATTCTCCATTGTCCCCTCTGAATCACAAAACTGCTAAGAAGAAACTTTCATCCCTGGATGGTTACTAGGTTATTGTTGCTGTTGGAAGATATGAGTGGAAGACTTCACATTCTGCTGTCTTGTTCTACATTTTCTTTATATTTTAAAGAAATTTTTGTTTTATTCTAATTGACTTACTGGAGGCAAGACATATATCTCTTGTGACACATGTCATGTCGGATGACGCATAATGGTTGGAAGATTTCTATAAAATGACATTGGCTTTTGGAGACCCAGACTTGATAATCAAAGCTACGATGGAACATTCCAGAGATGTGGATTCTTTAGGGTCCATATTCTGAAGCTAATATCTCGCAAAGAGTCGAGTGAACAACAATTAGTGCAGGCAGTGCTAAATGAAGCTGACAGTCTGTTGCACCTTCTGCTACAAGTTCAAAAAGTGTCTCAAACTTTTTAGTTTCACAGCCAGAGGAATTCTGTGTTTGTTTCCAAAGATATATATTTTTTCATATGTTTTTAGCTATCTTTGTCATGTATGTGTGGGCTCTAAGTCAGTGATGTAAAATTATGTAAAATGTTTTCTTGAATGGGCTTGTCAATTGTTAACTTCAAAAATGATGATGGTGATGATAAAAATAAAGTACTTTCAGTTTTTCTTGAGATAAAAAATATATGCTGTTTGATCAGGTGATTTTACTCTTGGGAATATATTTTATAAAAATACAAATATAAGCATGCTTGAACAAATTGTGTAAAAAAGTTTATTTCAGTTTTGTTCAAAGTATCAAAAATGAGATAGAATGAATGCTTTTTGTTAGAGAAATGAATAAATCATTCTGTGTAAATTAGAGCTAACAGATAGCTTGGAGAAATACCCCATTAAAGTACTGGAAAGGAAAAAAGCAACACGCAAAAAAGTGCTTATAATGTGATCCTTGTTTCAAAAATGAATGTTGATTTTTAAAAATTCTGTATAAATGTGAACACAAACACACATAGACATAGGATCTGTAATGGATTTTGATCAGGGAGAAAAATATGAATGCATATATAAGAAGTTGTTAGTATGCCTTACCTTTGGGGGTCGTCATATGTGAGTAGATGAAAGAGCTTAGACTAAATAAATAGGAAAACTAAACTAAAAAAATTGTGATAGGGAAAAAAATAAAACCAAAACATTTTAGAACTTAGGTAATAAAAGACTGTCTATTTAATCCTGGAACTAACAAGCAAGTGCAAACAATGTTTCTCTGTGAGCACTCGCTGTGGTTTTTGACATTTGGTTGCACTGTTGAGAAACACCGAGTTAAAGTCAGGTCCAATGATAGGTCCAGAGTGGTCACCCCACTTGTTCCTTTACAAAGGGGCAAGGTCTCTGCTCCTCACATTGCCACTATTGCCTCAGGGGCAGGAAAACCAAGACAGCCATAATTAAGGAAAATAAATGAAGGAGAGCTTATCTTACAACTCTGAGTGCCCATCTGAGAGCCTTCCGTGGCAGCTGCTGAAGTTATAAATAACCCTAAGTTACCAGGAAAATGGCAGCCATTACCAGAGCCTTCCAGAGCAGGAGCCTTATGGAATAAGAAAGATCACTTTTAAGGCTCATTAGAGGAAGAACCCTTGTGTTGGTTGCTTTGGTAATTGTGAGCGAGTAGAGGTGAGGGGATAAGATAGCCTTTTAGGCTCCATTCCATTTCTCATATTCTATCAGCTGGAACTGGGTTGCTGTATAACGGCCAAAAAGACTTTCCAGGCTAGTTTTGGACCCATGACGAACGAGGGCAGTAGTCTGAGTTTCACACCAGAGAATTTGACCATTTCATTCGTAGAGCCCACATACTGCACCTGCGAGTGATGGGCCAGCCAGGAACACACATGAAGGCCAAAGCAGCAGCAAAACAGAAACCCTATTGGCTGATGTTAGCCCGATACTCATGCTGCATTGTAAAACAATAATTTTCAAATTGTACTTTCCACCTAGAATCATATAATTTTAGAACTTGAAAGAACTTTAAGGATTAAATTTATGAATGATCTCACTATGACATTTTGGTCCAGGCAATTTTTCTTTTTCTTTCTTTATTTTTTGTGTTGGAGTCTTGTTCTGTCACCCAGGCTGGAATGCTGTGGTGCGATCATGGCTCACTGCACCCTCCCGACTCTCCCGACTTCAGAATACCATCAAGAGGAGGATACCCATCATTTATTGGCCCATAAGTAATATAGAAACCACTGAGACAGTATAAATAAAAAATGAGAAATGAGGGCAGTAGTTTGAGTTTCATACCAGAGAATCTGACCATTTCATTCTTAGAGTCACATACTGCACCTGAGAGTGATGGACCACCCAGGAACACACAGGAAGGCAAAAGAAGCAGCAAAACAGGCACCCTACTGGCTGATGTTAGTGTGATATTCATGTCTGCTTTAGAGTTTATGAAAATGTTACATATTACAATAAAAAATGTTACAGTGATGAGTAGTATAGCTTTTATAGATAGATTAATCAAGTTAATTTGAAGATTAGCATGTATTTGTTTTTTATTAACCAGGAATATTTCCTTTATTAAAATATGATAGAATTACTTCACTAAGATCCTACATAATTTAATACATTCAGTAACACTTTATAACAAAAGGTTATCTTCGAAACGGTGGACTCTTACCCAAGAATCACAAGCACTGCACAAATTACTTTAATCGCTTTTAGAAACCATCTTTTGTAGGCAAGTTGTAGGAGCCTACATTTATGAGGTCAGCCAACAGCAGCCAACTGAGTGTTTCCTAATGAATCTCTACTTCCAAATGTTTCTCAAGAGCTCTCCTTTGGTAGTTTCTTATAAGTTTTCTCTTTAATTAAAATGATAATTAATTTATTCTTTTTCTGAAACAAAATGAGCATTTCTTTTTTATATATGATATATTCAGGTGCATAATCAAACCTTTTGAAGAATCACACACACATTTTCTTGGACATAGTAGCTTTGCAGAATGCTGACATCACTCACAGTCCTGCAGGTGACTTCCTATTCTCCCTCACAGAACATGTAAGTAACGATGAAACACCAGACTTGGGCCATGCGATCATATGGGACCAAATGGCTCAACAGGTTCGTCTTTATCAGGGTTTCCCGTAAAGTACCAGGGAACCAATACATCCCGAGAACAAAAAGAAGTCCTGTTAATATGAATAGGCAGCTCAGAATTAGTAACTTGCCTTGAATTATATCCTCCCTCCTAA